TTACATTTTTACATATTTTCAAGAAATTTGTTCTGAATTGTAGATTGCAAATAAAATTTAAAAATAAAATTATTCTATATGTCAGATCAAATCCATGATAAATAACCCATACATTACTATTTTAAACATTGACATTCTAACAATTTTAGAAGATTCATATATTACATTTTTACATATTTTCAAGAAACTTGTTCTAAATCGTAGATTGCAAATAAAATTTAAAAATAAAATTATTCTATATGTCACATCAAATACATGATAATTGTTTAACTTTCTAGAAAAAAATAGTATTGAATTAGTTGTATTATGTTCTATTGATATTTTTTTTTTATAAAATTTCAATTCACTGAACAAATAAACCCCACCGATGTATGAGATATGGACATTCATAACCTCTTGTTAAGTTTTTTTCCAACTTACTTTTAGTTCATTAGTATTTAGTGACTTCAACTTTTATTGTTATGAATAGACAAAATTGCAAGAATCTCCATGTGGTATGTCAAAAAATGCTACTTTAAGCTAAACACGTTTGGACTAGCACCAATAGTCCAAAAGTTATCATTTTGTTGCAGTTTTAGTCCAAAACAGCTTAAAAAAATCTAAAAATGATGGATTTACCCTTTTCCATTTGTTTTTTGCTTTTCTTTTTGTTATTTAATTATTTTATAACTAAAAAATATAAAAAATAAAATAAAATATTTCTCTCTCTCTCTTTTTTTTTCTCTCTCTCTCTCTCTCTCTCAAGATAACAACCAATATACCCTCTCTTCCATCATCTTCCTCACCGAGCTCTCCATTAAAAACACATCATAATCTCTACAAGTTGAAGCCGAAAAAGATGAATCACCGAACCAATTCATCAATTCTTCAAATTACAAACATCTTCTCAAAACCCAGACCCTCACATCGAAGGAAAATTCAATCTCTTGAAAATCTTCCGACATTACCACCGTTCGACCACCACCCGCCACCACCATAGTCCGTCATCTCCATCTCTACCTAAATCAGATCAGATGAACATACACACAAAATCAGATCAGACAAACACACACATACATACACTAAATCAGATCAGATCAGATAATCACACACATACACACAATAAATAAGATGAACACATATACACACTAAATAAGATGAACACATACACAAATAAAATTTGATGAAAACACACAGATTAACACAAACATCCATCAATTTTACAATAGATTTAAGACAAACGCACACATAGATTAAATACACACACAAACTCGAACAAGACCAACAAGAGATTAAACACATACACACAAACACCACAGTAGATCTGAAAAGCATTAGACACACACACAAACGCCACAATATAGAAAGGGTTGCACTAAGGTTTTTACAAAGGTTGTCATCAGAGAAGAAGGGAGAGGAAGTCGTTTTTGGCAAACCTCCATAAAGAGAAAGGGTTTCTCTACCTTCACCTTCTTCTCCTTCGTTGAATCACATTTGAGTGTATGTGTCTGCTTAGAAATCTAAAGAAGAAATGAGGTGCTGCAAACCCTAGCAACTCGAAACCACCCCCGCTATGATCTTCAACCCGTCGTTTGGGAGGGACATAGATCTGAAGAAAGGGGGCGACTGGTGAAGGAAGAACTGATAAAGAGAGACAAACTGATTCGGGTTTGTTTTCATGTTCATCGATGTAGAGTTTGCAAAGGCGAAGTCTTCGTCAGAGCAAAGGGGATAGAGGATGACGGCGATAGTGGTGGATTCTGGACGAGCGATTTCTTGCGGGCACAGTTGACACAATCGATGCACAAATCTTGAAGGTGGATTTCACATATGAAGTTGGATTTGGGGCAGGAGCATTATGGTGAATTTCCGATTGAGAAGATGCATCTTTTTTTTGAGCTTCTTTGATTGAGGTTCCTCCCGTTAATTTCTTTTCAACCAACAAGAGAGAGAGAGAGAGAGAGAGAGAGAGAGATATTTTATTTTATTTTTTATATTTTGTAGTTATAAAATAATTAAATAACAAAAAGAAAAGCAAAAAACAAATGGAAAAGGGTAAATCCGTCATTTTTAGATTTTTTAAACTGTTTTGGACCAAAACTGCAACAAAATGATAACTTTTGGACTATTGGTGCTAGTCCAAACATGTTTGGCCCAAAGTAGCATTTTTCGACATACCACAGGATCCGTTTTTGCAATTTTGTCTTATGAATCAGAAACCAGAAATTTCTTTATATTGCATCTATTGTTGAAACTTTTTCTCAAATAATAACTTATGTATATAAAGTATCGAATCATCAATAATTCTCAACAAATACCTAATTAATTACTAAATTTTAGAAGCTATAACTTTAGCACATTTCAAAGTCTTCTAAAAATAATGATTTTGATAGTGCGGTGGATATGTAAATGTCTTTATATTGGTATCTAAATTCTGAGTTGATATTAATATCATATTTAACGAACGTGGTTTTATAATTAATAAAACATAAATTAGATTAGTAACAAGAAACTATATGTTGATTAATGTATTATTATTTTTTTCTTCTATTACTAAGAGAAATTTTTATGGTAGGGTTGATGTAAACGCATGGCCGCACTTTTAGTGTAAACGTTTTATGTTTTGTACATTTATGTTTTTATATTTGGATCATGTGTATAACACGACCAAGTTTTATATATAAAACTTCTATATTTTTCGCGTTAATGAGAAGATGATCTTTATGAGAAAATATTACTCTTTCATGGTATCAAAGCCATTTTAAATTATATATTCTTAAAACATCTCATATTTCCTTTCTTTTCATCTTCCTCACGACTTTACTGTAACCAATGTTCCTTCTTCACTTAATGTAATCCGTCCTTTGTACATCTATTTCACTTTCCTTTCACCATGACTATTGGAAAACCTTATGAAATTGCAAATATTAAAGCGTATATTCCATCAATTATAGATCTTGAGCATTTTAATTATGATGCATGCCGCAAGTTATTTGAAACCCTTTACAATTGTTTTTGAGTCTCAGATCATCTCTCTCTTGACTAAATGACAAAGCCCTAGCCACTTCTGACGAGGTGCAATAGAGTCGAATTGACTCTATCTTTAAGATGTTGATTCAAATGACATTCTCACAACCACTTCTACAGATGATTTTCAAGAAAAACATAACTATTCAACAAGTACAAATGAACCTCGTAACACTTTTTTGCAACAATAAAGATGTTAAATCCGTTCAGCTTGACAATGAATTTTGCAATAACGTTATTGGTGATTCGACGATCGTAAAAATTATACCCGAATCAAGATGATATTCGAATTATTTGAAACATTGACATTATTTTCTTTGAAAAAGAATATGTCACGTATACAATCAAAAAAATTTCTCCCAAATATGACTATATAACAAGCCCAAACCTTCATCGTATGTCTCTTCCCTCGTTTATGGAGACAATATCTATACTTATACTCAAAGAACAATGCATGAATCAAGTTCACTCTTACACCCTTCAAGTCACTAACATGGATCATTTATCTTATTCTACGATTCTCGATACCAAACACTTGCACAAAACTAACAATAACTATCACGGTGGAGGTCAACATGATGGTTGTGGCTGCTAGAGAAAAGTTATGGTGGTTGAAATTATGGATGTAATGGTTATGGAGGATCCATTCGACATCAACAAACCATAACATAACAAGGGTGGGAGTACGACCGATACCTTGGGCCTAACCCTACCTACCAGTCTTCTCCCTTTTAGTTATGCGTAGCAACAACAAGGCCTCTTGCTTACCCTATCAGCATTGACACAAGCTTTTTGGCCTCACCAACGACAAAACTAGCCCATAATAGTTGACCTAAAACTCAACCTTTCAGTTAGCATACAACCTACCTTTTGTTATTTGTCAGTACCATTATCTTAACAACATCTTCGACTGAGTTTTTACAACATATCATTGTCACCATGGACCTCCAGTTCTCTATGATAGCTCTTAGGGATCTCAATTTCTTCCTTGGCATTTCCATTTCACATGACTGAGTTGACATTGTATCACAATTTTGATAGCGTGATATAGTTTCTCACATTGACTCAACTAAGTCTTACATATGAAGTTCAACATATTTCTTTATTTATTCATGATCATTGGGAACCCTACTTCACAGATCTTAAGAGAATCCTTCCTAGGGCTTTATAACCTAGTGTAATGTTGATTGGGTTGGTTATCCCAATACCTGGCGATCCGCATTGGGTTATTGTGTCACAATCTTCGAACTTGGTCTTCCAAATGATATGACACTTGTAACACTCATTATTAATGTATTTTATATTTCAACCTCTTAGTATGAAATTTGTTACAAAATTGGTCCCAAGCCTCATTATGGGAGACAAATGTTTTTACGCGTACGTTGGGCGTACTTATGCATACGCCGGGCGTACGTGGCTGATGTCTAAACCCCAAATTTTAGGGTTTGAGCCATATTTAAACATCATTATCTCCTAAAGAACTCTTCCCTCATCATCCCCCATCTCCCAAATTGTCCCTTGCAAACCCTAATCCATTGTGTGAACATCTTTGAGCTTTAGAGTGTATTTTTGGTGTTCTGAAAGGAGGAAAAAGGAAGTGAAATCATCTTTGGAGCTCAAGGCAACTTGGATCCAAAAGTGTCTCTGTAAAGACAATGAATATCAATAGATTCTATATTTGCAATATGAATTAAAGATGAAAAACAATGAAGATCAAAAGAGTGTCGAATGATTATTATTCACGACAATAGAATAGTTCTCAAGGAGGAACTACTTTGTACTTGCCTCTAAAAAATGTAACCTTAAAAGATTACATGCACGCTATATATATATATATATATATATATATATATATATAGAGAGAGAGAGAGAGAGAGAGAGAGACTAAACTACACAACGGTTCCAATCATGGACATGCCCATTTCGGAACAGTTGACACAACATATTATTAACCCTAACAATCTCCCTGTTTGCGTCGATTAAGAAGAGAGTCTTCACTGTTGCCCTTGCATTTCAAAAACATTAGGAATAATTTTCAGAAGGGATGCCCTAACATTTTGATAGCACAAAATCATATCCGATATACATTTCAATTCCGAATCAGTGTTAGTTTTGTTCACATTAGCCCTTGCGAGAATCTGATTCATTATGCTTGTGGAATACAAATGTTTGTCTCTTAAAAAGAACATGCGATTCTTCAAATCACCATCCTCCTTCTTCTTATACATGATACTCCAATATTCCTTGTCGATCAATCCTCCTGGAAAATCTTGGATATCCTCGGGTTCTTTAAATGGCTTCACTATTGGTCTTCTATTCAGAACTGAGGCGATCTCGATATCCATCTTTACAATCTCCAGGATGTAGCATTTAATCATCTTCTTCAGATGGTTGAAGATGGGCATGTATTTTTTTCACATCCTTCACAACTATGTTGAATAATGAAATCCAATCATATGGATTCATGAAAGGGAAATCAGCCAAAGTAAACTCATGAAGCACATGATTTGAACCCTGAAATCCTTTGAAGTGAATGTTTGAAAAATCTTTAGTTTCCACAGGAAGTCCAACCTTTAAACCTACGATCCTCTTTAAACTCCAGGACTCATACTGAGGCTTCCCATACTTGAGATAAAATCTGAAGAGTTTTCTATTGATCGCGTTGTTGGAGATTTGAGTCTTCTCAATCTTTTGGAAGCTTCAGAACAAAAATACTTTTGCAGTGAGGGGAAAGTCTAACTAGCATTCGATATCATTGCAAGTATCAAATGATGTCTTCGGTTCCAGCCAGTATAATTCTAAAAGATCAATGGTTTCCTTCTGAATTCTTTGAATAGTAAAATTAGGAAACAAGGATTTTTTACTTTCTAAAATGAAAGCTAAATTTTTGACTTCAACCTCTTCTGCCTCAAGCTTTTGTCGAAGAGCCATGAGATCATCAAGCTCTTTATCTCGTTTCTTTCTTACAAGCTCCTCTGATTCGGATAACTCTTCTTCTTCATCGTCTTCATCAGTTTCTTTTCCCTTGCCTTTCTTTGATCTAGAAGCTTCATTACCATTCTGATCAATTTCATATTTCACTTTAACTTCCTTTTCCCCCTTGTTTCGAAGGATCACCACTTCCCGAAACACCAAGGATCAGATTCAGCAAGGCGAACACTGGATTAAGTTTTTCCGAGAGAACAAGGCATACTGTATCATTGAATGGATGAGATCTGGTCTCAACGATTCTCAACAGTCTTTGATGAATTTCTGAGTTGAAAGACTTTATAGAAAACTTCTCCTCTTGAAGCCTAGCAACTTCTGATTTAGCATGCTTCAATTTCTCATTCAGAAAATTTTCCTTCTGAGTTTTCTCTGCTAGGGCATCCATGATTTTATTCTCTGTTACTAAGTCAGCCTTTAAGTTATCAAACTGAGTGGTGATGCTGGAGTTTAGATTGATGTTGTCCAGCTTAATGTCAGCACGAATCTTGGACAAGGATTACTTCTCAGCCTTCAAGGAAGAACCAAAGGCTTCTATAGCCTTGTTCATATCTGCTATACTCTTATCCGAAGAAGCCCTAAAATCAGCCATGAATTATTTGACTTCGGATTGTAAGAGTAGAACCTTGTCCATAGTTTCAGTGATTTTCTTGTCTGAGGCTTGAGCAACATTAGTTGAATCTTCAATGACCTTTGAATTTGCAGAAGTGATCATCTCCATAGTTACTCGATGGGTGGTCAGAAGACTTTCCTACTTAGAAGACGAAAAGGCTTGAGAGGAATCCAAAAGTGAGTCAAGCTTATCTTGTAACTGTGCGAACTGTCCCTTTGTCATAGGAACCTCATCTTCATCACTACTGATGTTAAAATTGAAGGGATAAAAAGCGAAGTCTTCTATGGGTTCTTGTTCATCTCCGAACAGTATCTTGTTAACCTCATTGAAAGGAGAAGTAGTTGATGTGGTTGGATCAGAAGTCACAACAATATTGCAATTTTCCCTCGTATCAAATATTTTGACAGGGATGCATGAAGTTTATATCTCCTCCAAAACGGATTTGATTACAGGGACTTCCGGTGAAGTGGAGACTGATGATGTAGTGGGATTGGTTGAATCAGTAAAGATGGGTGAGGATAGACGGATGGAAATCTGAGGAAGAGAAATTCCCACGGAACTAGTTGGTGGTAGAGGGGGGATGAATGATATCGGTATTATGGATGTAGTGGGTGAGGAAGTCATAGGTAAAGTTGGCGGATTAATAGGTGGTGATGGTGGAGTAGTAGTGAGGTTCATAAATGGTTCTTTTAGAATTTTTCCAAAAATATCAGAAGTTGGAATAGAGGAGGTCGGTGGAGAAGATACCTTCAGAATATGTTCTGTAGAGGTTGGCTGTGAAGTTGCAACTATATCTTATTTCTCATGTCTGAGTGTATCATCCTCTTGTACTTCCATAACAGTTCTTGGTTCTGATTAATGTTGAAGTATTGGGGATGGAGATCTCGGTTTCTTTGTTGGATTCATTGTTTTCTTTGGAACCTTAACACATTCAGAAGGAGCATTTTTTTTGCCTTCCCTTTGCCACCACACGTAGGTTTGTTGCTTTCTTTAATTAACTTCTATAGTTCAGCATGCATTGGTCGGAAACCTGGAGAGGGTAGCTTCCGATACTCCCTCGTAATGGTGTTGTCAAGTGGAAACTTTTCCAACATTTCAGTCAGAATTGAACCAACAAAAGTGAAGTTTCTGGGATCTGACATAAAAAATGTAGACGTTTGGAGTGTTGGAATCTCTGTCATTACAGAATCTTTCATCAGAGGAATTTTAAAGTGACCAAGAGCCCTATTGATCACTATCGACCATAATCGAGCACATGAGATCTTATTTTGGTGAGAAGAAGAAGTGGTGCTCTGAATCAGTTAAGTCCAAATAATTGCCCCATAGCCAAGATTGATACCATGGAATAAGTCATAGATCAAAGTGTAGAACATATTGCTTGCACTGTCAGACCCAAAACCCTCTCTGACAGGCTCTTGAACAGTAGGGTGAATAACCCATTCCATATCGGGGGTAGGAAAGACTTCCTAAACTTGAAGAGTAAGAAGATGTTACTGGTGTACCCCATTTAGTAGAACATCTCTATCATGGAGGTAGTTGGAATCGAGTTAGGGTCGACACTGACCTCTGACGTAGTAAGCCCTAGAATTTTACAAAAGTGGGGCTTAGAGATCGATGTTTTGTGATTTTCCACTTCAAAGTTGATAACATCATCCGTCTTATTGTAAATTGTAGTTAAGAATGCTATTAAAAGATGAACAAGAGGAACCGTTTCTGCCATGGTTAACGTCTTCATCAGTGGAGAGAATTTGAGATAGTCAATCATGGGCTGAATCAGTTCATTGTAGTGTGAGGCGTCAAGGTTAATGATCATGTTCTGGTTAGGCTTGACAGAAAGCTTGATGACAGAGGCAGACTGGTTGGCAAACGGGATGTTTTTAGATGAACCTACCATTTCTGTTGTGAGAGACGATGAACAGTAGAGGGCAAGAGGGTTTTTGCTTTGAGACTTAGAGAATTATGTTTGTGGTGAGAGAAAGAAAACTGTTTGAAAACCCATTTTATACGGTGTATGATGAGTGGTGAGAGAAATCACCGTTTCATATTCATGCACGTCGAGATAATAGCCAATAAAATCGTGCCATCTAATCAATTACTGTCAGAAATTGTTGCAATCAACCACACAGTGTCAAAGATTCAAAAATCATGCTAAGATTTGAAGTTATCCAAAAGTCATTAGATGTTTCGGGTTCACCGTATTCTGAACTAGTCATTTAAGAAATGTTGATTTACCTTCCATCTTTGTAAACATCCATTCGGAATTATAACTAGACTTGGTAAAATCACAAGGATTTTAGTGCTAGAGTGTGCAAAAAAAGAAAAAAAAGAAATAAAGAAAATAATATATGGGATTTTGTGATATGAAACACTATTGATATGAAAAACTGATTGATCCCGGGTAATGATCTCTTCCTTCTAAGTCAAGAGAGACTCTAAAGTGCTTGTGTGGTTTCCCGTTGAATTACGATCATCATTTTTTTGAGAAACTATAAAATGCTTCTTTTATTAAGGATTAAAGGGTGGTGGTTTCATCTTCAACCAGATTCCAAAACTTAACACAAGTTTGAAGACCTAAAGGAAGTACTTATCTGACCAATGTAGCCATAAAAAAGTAAGCTTTGGATTTTCTTTAAAGTGACTGGATATTGTGGAAATCTAAAAAAAAAAAAAAAAAAAATATAAAAATTGGATCTTATTGGGAAGAAATTTCTTAGGACGAGAGCAATTCATTAAGATCACTCAAAAAGAAAAATGAGATTTCAAACATTTAAAGGTATAAACCAAAAGGTTTTATTTGTCAATTCCATGGTTAATTTTCTAAAACAAAAACATGTTCACCGTCAATTCAGAAATGGTGTTCAGAGTTTTGGGTGTCACTCAAACTCATGGTAATAACGATTTCAAGATCATAAACACAAATGTTTTGTAACCTAAACCTCAATGGTTAAACCTGATAGTCATAAGGTTACGATACATAGTAATAGATTGGTAGAAAATTGGTTGGGAGTTTCACGAAAATCATGTTCATAATGATTTTGAGATCATGAACAAGAGTTTTGTAGCCCTATACCGAAACTGGTTTTGTTCCAATAATCAAGGGACTATGTGGAGGTTGAGATAAGACATGGTAGAAAGAAGTGATTAAGTTAACCGTCAATTCATTGTTGCAGACTTAAACTCAGAAATGAATTTATAAATGATAATATTTTTGATATTTTTGATTTTGAAAAGAAAATACAGAAACACATAAAATAATTTGGTATTTTTGATTTTCTGAAAAGAACGAAGATAAACAGTAACTTCAGAATGGAAACAAATGAATAAACAAAAGAAAATGATAAAAGACTTACAAAAGTACAAGGTTTCAAAATCATAGTGTACAGTAACTTCAGAATCATTACGATGATCGGAGCAATTCAGAAGTAAACCAAGAATTCCGAACCATTCTGTAGCCCGGAACAAGTCAGAATATGAACAATGGATTATGAACCATTCCGATGCTCGGAACCATTAGGAATGTGAGCAGTAATTTTCAACCAATGATCATTACGAAGAGGATTTCAGAACAGAGTCGGCTTCAATCATCCCAAATACTTGTCAAATACGACTAAATGATGCTTCAGGTAGGGCATTTGTAAAGATATCAGCTAACTGATATGAGGATCTAACAAAATGAAATTCTACATTTCTATCATCGACATGATCTTTTATGAAGTGGTATCTCAATGCTATATGCTTTTTCTTGGAATGTTGCACCAGATTGTGACAGATTCTTATTGCACTTTCGGAATCACAACACAAGGGAAT